CCCTGCGGGGCCCGGCCGGGAGCCCGACGAGGAGGGCGACCATGGACCTGCGGCCCGGGGCACGGGGGGGCTAGGCCCCCGGGAGAGCGCCCCCCATCGCCGCGCACCCCGTCAGCTTCACTGCCCCCGGGGCCGCCGGCGGCCCATGAGCCCCGGCCTCAAAGTTTGCGGCGGGCGGGCGGGCGCGGAGCTCCAAGATGCCGTTCCACCCGGTGACGGCGGCGTTGATGTACCGGGGCATCTACACCGTGCCCAACCTGCTGTCGGAGCAGCGCCCGGTAGACATCCCCGAAGATGAGCTGGAGGGTGAGTACCCGCCGGGACCCCGTCGCCGGCCCTTCCTACCTGTGCGCCCAGGTGGAGCGCGGCCAGGGCACCGCGCCGGGGGGCGGGGGACAGACCGGCCGCAGGTGCCGGCGGCAGGTGGGCGCTCCCCTAGCAGCTGCGTGAGAGGCCGGACCAGCCGGTACCCTGCTGGGGGTCGAGGAGGTGAGGGTGAGTCTCAGCCCCTGCCCGCGGGTCCCTCCGCGCTGCGGAAACTTGCCGGTCCCGCAGCGGGGTCACGGGGCCGCGCGCCCGCGGTGACAGTGCGGCAGCGCAGTGGACCGGGCCGGGGTCCGAGCTGCGCCCCCCGCATCAGACTGGCCGGAGCATCCACATCCTGATCCCCTCCGCGGCGCCTTCCCGCGGCTCTGCGCTCGCATTGACATTCCGCTCGTGTCGCTTGAAAAATTCAATCTGCTCGGGCAGCGGAAGAAGGGGAGAGGGCGACTGTCCTGCTTTTGCCCGCCGCGGGCCAGCCCCCAGCCCCTTCTGTGGCTGAAACCCCTTCCTCTCAGGGGTGAGAGGACCCCCAGCCTGTAGCTCTGGGAAGGCGGCCCGGGAGGTGGTGGCGACAACAAGTGGCCGGATTGGGCGGTTTGGTCGCGATAGCTGATCCTAGAAGGGAAAGGTGGAGGAGCCGGGACCCAGACCCTCCCAGACCCTTGGGCTTCAGGACACGAAGGGGAAGCCTTAGGTGGTGGGCTCGGGCATCTGAGAGGAAGGCAGGGTCGGAGGTGTAGGGTAGCAAGATCCCTGGGGCCTGCTGCTGGATCCATGCTGAGCTGGAGAAGTGCTGTTTCCCTCCCCCCAAGACCTTCTGGCCCCCATGTGGAGGGGGTGCTCGTGGGAGCCTCTGTCCTCAGGAATCTGGTTGTCTGCTGTTGGGGGAGGGACTGAGACTGCCTGGGGGTTGGGCCTGCCTGAGTACCTTGGCTCAAGGGGGCGTCTCTGAGACCCAGGGGGGAGTCAGGGCCACCATGCTGTGCTGGTGCGTACAGCTAAGATGTTAGCCCAGTCAGGGATGTGGTTGAAGCAGAAGGGCCCCAGTTCTGGAGCCCTAGTGGAGGCAGATCTTAGGAGAGTCAGACTGTGTGTGTGTGTGTGTGTGTGTGTGTGTGTGTGTGTGTGTGTGTGTGTGTGAGGGGAGATCCCAAGGGAGAATGCCCCTACCCCCCACTGGTCACTGCACCACAGGCCATGAATCACCTGTTCCTCACCAAGTCCCCTGCAAGCCCCCAGATGCCTGGAGAACCAAGGCGAGGGGTCTGTGTGCGTGCAGGTGGGTGGGTGCCCTGACTGGCTCCTAACTCACCCCCAAAGCTCAGGTCCCTGCCCGGCCAGGTGGAAGCCAGCTGCCCAAGTCCTAGGGAAAGGAGAGGGTGTGATGAGGCAAGTGGGCAAGAGATGGGACACTAGCCATCTTTCCTTTGTCCCTGCTGCTCTCGGCCACTCCCAAATCTACCACTAGTTTCCCCCTCCAGAGCTCTTTGTCCAGTCTTCCCTCCCTGGTTTCTTGAGCAGGGGGTCAATATTTCACTGTGCCCCTCTTGCTCCAAGCCCTCCCCTCAATGGCCCAGGCACCCTCGCCTCAGACCTCACTGGCTCCCTCCTCTCTCGATTCCCCAGTCCTGGGGTACAGAGCATGAGGAAGAGTGGAAGCTGCGAGGATGCCAGGGTGCAGGGGTGAGTGAGGCATGGGGCAGGTGGTGCAGGGGCAAGGAGGCTGCAGGCTCTTCTTGGGCCTCCTGGTGGACATGCTGGCAGGAACTCAGCAGCGTTAGTCACCAGCCACGCCAAACACACTCTCTGCTTCTCTCCTGGGTCCTGGGGAAAAGAGGGGCCCTGGTGCAGGGGGCATCTGAAGGGCAGAGCCCTCCCTGGGGTAGGTAGGCAGAGGTTGTGGAGAACATAGAGGCCCATCCATCTCCTGCGCCCCCCAAGTATGATAAGGGTGAGAACCCAATCCCCTTTTTGACTGCAGGCACCCCCAAAAGTCTCCCTCCCAGAAGCTCAAGCATCTGTAGGCCCCAGGCCCCTTGTGGCCCTTGATCACCACGTATGGGTAGAGAGGGTGGCTAGCCTGGCATAGGTCCACCATGAGGGCCTTGCCCACTCTAGCTCCTCAGAGCCCCACTAATGCTCCCGCCCCAGGGCAGTGCGGATAAGACCTAGGTCCTTTGCTGGAAGGATGCCTATTGGTGGGGGAGTTGTCCCACATGTGCCAAGAAGAGGGAGTCCGGCATCTTGGGAAGAAATGCTGCAGACAGTATATGCCGCAGAAATCCAGAGGGCGGTTAGCCCAGGCGAGTTTGAGCTCTGGTAGTATACTAGTTACGAATTGGGCTGCGAACCTTAAGGTCAACAGTTTGAAACTTCCAGCTGTTTTGCAGGAGAAAGGTGAGGCTTTCTGCTCCCGTAAAGATTTACAAGCCTTGGAAACCCTGTGCAGGGTCGCTATCAGAACCGACTCCACAGCACATAACAACAACAACAAGGGAGAGGGAAGTATGAGGTTATGACCAGAGTGTCCCTGACAGGCAGCACTGAATTCTCACCTCCACACTCCCACCTCATGCAGTGACCTTGTTCCATTTCTTGCCTCTTTGAGCCTTGGTTTCCCCAACTGTAAAACGGGTCAGCATTGCCTCTCCTTAGGGCTGGTGACAGGGGATTTGATAGACGAGCTGAGCAAGGGGCCTGGCTAGCAGTGGGATACAACAGCAGGGGTTGTTAAGGGCCTGGAGGGTGGTGAGAGACCAAGCCGATGAGGCAGGGATGCAGGTGTGTGGTAGGCTGGGTCAGGAGGACAAGGTGGTGTCAAGGGCCTTGAAGTCGGGACCTGTGGCCCTGGGGAGTTGTGGGTGGATGTGGCTGGCCCAAGGCCTGCCTGGCCCCCATGAGGGAGCAGCACAGGCTGTCTCAGACTCCCTCTGCATCCCCACCATAGCTGGGTGTACACACCCAAAATGCTGGCTCCAGTGGCAACAGTGGACTTGAGTACCGAGGGTGGGAATGGGTAGCTGCCCGTATAAGGGAGAAACAGACAGCTAGTGACCAGGCAGTTAGCCAGCTCAGTAAGACAGTGGAACTAGGGTTAAGAGGAGGCAAACGAGGAGCTCTTTTCCTGCTCCTCTGCCCTGCTAGTACAACAGTTGCCTCTGTGCTGACCAGAGGCTCAGAGAAGCTGAGTATGAGGTTGGGACCAATGCCACAGAGAGCATAGTGTTACAGAGGAAAGATGCTGCCCACCCAGTGACCTTGACCCTGTGGGTGCCCCTGGGCTCTTGCTCCCTAACAGAGGCTGTGTCCTGTGGGACCAACTAGGGATTCAGGTTTGGCACAGCTCCATAGATTGGGGATGGGCTTGAGGGGTGTCAGGCTAGATGTGGTAGGTGGGAGACAGTGATGACGTCCTGGAAACTCAATGGCTCTGCCAGCCACTCTGGGCCAGGGCTCCCCATGCAAGAGGGAACAAGACAAGCTTATCCCAGCCTCCTAGAGCAGGGACTAGAGCTCAACTTTCGGGGAACTGTGCCCAGGCCTCAGTGACCCTCAGGAGTTGGGTGCCCATTTCACAGATGAGGTGGCTGAGCCTCATCCAAGGTCATGTGACAGCCTCAGCTGAGCCCAACTCCTAGCACCAGCCCCAATGCCAGCAAGAACTACGCCCGGTGTCCCTAGCTCACCCAGTCCTTCCTTCCTCTCCTTCCGGCTCTGCCATCTGAGTTGGGCTGATTTACAGCATCCTGCTCAGAACACTTAGATGCTTTATTTCCTTATTCACTCCCCCAAGCAGCCCCATTGTACAGGTGAGCAGACACCTGCCCAGGGTCACCCTGCTGGGAGGTAGGAAAGCTGAGATTTCAATAATGGCTTGGGGTGATTTAGAGCCACCTCCCTCCTTGGTCTTCATGATGGGTGGGAGTCAGCAGGGAGTGGGACAGCATGAGCACTTGGAGGGGTGTCTGGGTAACAAAAGGATGGAAAGGTGGATTTACCTAGTGGTCTTGGGTCTTGGGATGGTAGACCTACCTGAGAAATGGCCCTTCAGGGCTAACTCAGGATCTGCCAGCTGCACCAGCCCCCTTCGCTGCCTCCCTCTATTAGCTTGTTAGGTGCTGTTCCATCAGTTCCTAGCGAACCTTTCTTTGTTCAATGGAATGGAACGCTGCTTAGTCCTCATACCACCTTCACAATCATTTCTATGTCACTGAGTCACTGTCACTTCATCTTGTTGAGGGTCTTCCTCACTTTGGCAGACCCTCTATTTTACCAAGTTACATCTTGCTAACGTCTAACGTAGGTAAGATGAAGTCTGGCCACCCTCACTTCTGAGGAGCATTCTTGTACGTCTTCTAAGACTACTTGTTCCTTCCCTGGCTGTTATGGTACATTTGGTATTCTTCAGCTTCCCGTTGCCTTGTGCATTTCCTCAAAGCCTCTGGGAAGGCAGTTGAGGCTCCTGTTGAAGTAGTCCTGGGCTCTGACAGCCAAACCCAGCCTAGACGGTGGGGCGGGGGTGGGGGGGGCGCTTAGCTCTCCACCCCAATATCCCCCCCCCAAGTAGGCCCTCCATAGGAGGAAACTGAGGACGCAGAGAGGTGGGTGCCTGACCCCAGGTTTCTTTTTTATTAAATGTTTTATTGTGAATTATGTGATAGTTTACATGGGAGAACACCAGCCTTACATTCATACTATCGTATATCATTTCATTGCCATGGTTATAATCCCCTCCATGCATCCTCAACCAACCAAAGGGTATACCCCACAAGCCTGCCCCCCGGTCATCAGCATACAGCCCCTCTCCTTCTCTGGGTCTAGAGTCCCCAGCCGCTCCATCTCTCCACGTCATCATATCTGCCTCCATCTCTGGCGTCACTGTTTCAGTGGGTAGTGTCCTCACTCTGCTCTTCTCCCTTGATGGTCCCAGGGACCTCCACTCCTGGACTGCAAAGTCAACCAATCCCCCTCCTTTTGCTACCAAATGTCTACCTTTACATTTCTAACCCTCACAGTCAGTCCTGATAGCAATTATTCACTATTGTACCACAAGAGTCCTATCCCCATCTCCTTTCATCAGCCCTGCCCAGACAGACTGGACACTATTCAGTGGAGATTTTACCTTCCTCCATGCCCTCTGGCTCTAGGCTCCCTCTTGAAAGCTTGTTAGCCAGTCACATCTTACCTTTGTAGCACTCCCCCCCGCCACCCCCATTTTAGGTAGCCAATGTCCAAGTTGCCCATCCTGTCTACCCTGTGTACCCAGAGGGTGGGAATGATCCTCACTGTAAAGATTTGTTCCCTCTTTTGAGCTACTGCATCCATAGGTTTAGGTTAAGTTCATCAATTGTATCAGATTACTCTTTTTCCCTCTTCTTTCTTCTAGTTGAATCATCCAGCCATTGAAGCCACGTCAAGTGGGTATTATCTGCAAGTGTGGGTGTTCTTGTGCATACTTCCTCACTTCACTCTCCACTCTAGTCCTTGGTGGCCCCAGGTTTCATTTATTTTAACACCCCTGGTCCTGAGGTCCAATGATGCTTCAACAGCCCCCACCCTCAGTTTGATTTCCCTTATGTGAACACTGATAGTTCCTTGGTAGAAATCTTACCTTCTATGTATTGTCAGGAGGGACCAGTCCTGGAGAAGGATATCATGTTTGGTAAAGTGGAGGGTCAGAGAAAAAGAGGAAGACCCCCAGAGAGATGGATTGGCAAAGTGGCAGCATCAATGGGCTCAAGCGTGGCAACAATAGTGAGGTTGGCCAAAGATTGGGCAGTGTTTCATTCTGCTGTGCATAAGGTTGCTATGAGTCGGTACCGACTCAATGGCACCTAGTAACAACAACATCAACATGTGTACTTTTGGGAGTACTGATGACACTGTAGGATAAATACTGGACTGCTAACCACAAGGTTGGCAGTTCAAATCCACCAAGTTGAAACCTTGGGAGAAAGATGAGGCTTTCTGCTCCTGGAAAGATTTACAGCCTCAGAAACCCTATACAGGCTCATTATGAGTTGAAACTGACTTTACAGAACCTAACAGCAACAACATGTGGGTTCTGACTTGCAGCCAGTGCACCTCATGCTTTGTCAGTGGATGCTTTTTTGTCACTATGATGAACAGGTGTCAGTGAAGCTTCCAGACTAAGAGACTAGGAAGAAAGGCCTGGCAATCTCCTTCAGAAAATCGGCCAATGAAAACTATGCCGTGCTGCCTTCTGTTGTGAATGGTATCCCCATGAGTCAGGCGCTGACTTAAAGGCAGTTAACTACAAGTGGGTATCCCATGGGGTAGGGACCTGGGGAATTGGATAAGGGGCCAAACCCTAGTGTTTCTTGCTCACTGGTGTGGCAGATGTGGTCTGTAAACCAAGTCAATGGTCTCTGTGCAAAGCAGTGGATGAACTTCTGCTTGGTTCTTTTCACAAGTCATTTATTCATTTGCTCAATTATTTCTTCAGCAAATGTTCCAGGGAACGGGGACATGGCTATGAACAAGCCAGATGGACCCTTCCCTCATGACACTCTGTGCTTACAGTCAAGGGTGTGAGGAAGGCCTGAGTCAGCCCAGAGCAGGGAGGAGCTTGGGGAGTTGGTGCTCTCAGGCTGAGACCATGGTGTCAAGTTTTCCAGTTACCAGAACAAGGGCAGCTTTCTCAAAAACCTGGAGGTGGGCGTGTTCCTGGTGCCATCAGCACTAAGGGGACCCTGAGGCTAGAGTTCGGTGCACCCAAGGTAGGCAGAGTCTGCAGCTGGTGGGACAGAAGGGGTGACACTACTGAACAGAAAGCTAAGGGAGTGGCAAGGGTATGCCTGCTTACAGGGCCAGTGCTCCTATCTCTGACCAGAGACCCCCAGAATCTGGTGACGGAGTGCTCACCACCTCTTCAGTGCAGGAAAGCTTCAGGTAGAAGTTGGCCCAGCTGCTTCCTGGCCAGTAGGCTAGGAGGTCAGATTCTCAGGCCTCACCACAAATGATGTTATTTTGGGTCAGAGGGCTGAGGCCTCCAAGGAACTCAGCTGCAGTGCTCTGTCTTGACTCACATTTTAGACTGTCCTTGGATGCGGATGGCAGGTGGGAAGGAGCATTACGAGGTTTGGAGCCTTGGCCTCACTATGTAGCCCAAGACATATAGCTGCCTTCCCTGGACCACAGTCCCTGTGGCCTTTGAGACTGGGGAATAACTCCAACATGCAGGATCCCACATGCAGGGCTCAGGGACCCCTAAGAACCTCTAAGGCCAGGCCAGGGCCAGCCTAACCAGGGAAAGCTCTGACCCCACATTGACCCTGGAATTGTCACCTACCCTCGCTGAGCCTCAATTTGCCTGTCTGTAGTGTGGGGCAGCTCACCTGTCTGCACTTCCACACACCACACACACACCTGTGAGCTCACTTCTGCCTGTGAAATCGCACCCAGGGGAACAGCTCAGGCAAGTTCAGAAGGCTGGTGAGTAAATAAGGAGATTCCCCGGGTGCAGCAGCAGAAGGGGTTGGGGGCAAATGGACCTCTAGTCAGGGGAGCTTCTGGTTGGAAGCTGAGACTTGGCACCTGGCTGGCACCTCCTTGGGGAGAGGATGGGGTCTCTGGGAAGGACCCCGTAGCTGCTTATATTTAAGGTTTCACAGGCAGAGAAACAGGCAAGAGGTGAGAGAATAGGGCTCCTAGGTTTGTTCTTGGTAAAAAAAAAACAAACAAAAAAAAAACTCTTGTCATCCCCACATCGTTAAACAAGTTGCTGTGGAGTTGGCTATGACTGATGGTAACCGCACATTGTGTCCGAGTAGAACTGTGCTCCATAGGGTTTTAGTGACTGATTTTTCAGGAATACATCTCCAAGCCTTTCTTTTGAGTTGTCTCTGGGTAGACTTGAATCTCCAACTTTTCAGTTAGCAGCCAAGCATGTTAACAGTTTGTGCCACCCAGGGACTCCCCTAGATCATGACTGCCCATTCTACTGTGGTGAAGACTGAGGACAGCCCAAGGTCACACAATGCGTGGCTTTTTTGGCCCTAAATCCTCAATCTCCCCCAGGTGGAATATGTCTGTAGCTCTGCTTCCGTCTTCCCTTAGACCTCAGGAGGCAGAGCCCCGCTGCTCGCATGGTCACCATTGAGGAGTGTTGGCTGCTGTTAACCAGCTAAGCCCGGAGAGAAACTGAAGCAGGATTCAGGGAGGGGAAGGGGGGACATTCTACAGCTCACATGGTCCTGGCCTGTCCAGCCTAGTGACCTCCTGCAGATAGGGACCCAGAGTCATCATGAGCATTCCAGGGAGGCCGTAGGCTCCTGGCACTGAGGCCCAAAGAGCATCGTGTTGCCTCCTGGCCTGGGCAACCTTTGCGGCTGGGAGGTTTCAGAAAGCAGCAGCAGCCCTGGAGGGTTTGAAAGGGGATGCTGGGCAGGGCTGAGGTCCCAGGCTGCTCTGCTCCCCAACAGAGATCCGCGAGGCCTTCAAGGTGTTTGACAGAGACGGCAATGGCTTCATCTCCAAGCAGGAGCTGGGCACGGCCATGCGCTCCCTGGGTTACATGCCCAATGAAGTAGAGCTGGAGGTGATCATCCAGCGGCTGGACATGGATGGTGAGCAAGATCAGCACCCCCGTCCATCTCAATGTCCTCACCCATCACCTGGGTGACCTCTGCTCCTGGCTGAACACCTATGCCCCCTCTCCATCTGAGCCACACCAAAACCCATGTCCTATTGTGGCCAAGCCTGCGCCCATTTCTCAGCCTGAAGAATTGAGGCCAGAGCCACAGGCTAACTCAATCCCATCCAGGGGCTAGATAATGTTTCTCTCGTTCTCTGAGAAATGCGAAAGGTACAGAAAAGCAGAACTACCCTAGTTCCCACCATCCAACATTACAAATGGCTAGTTTAGTTGTAGTTGCCCCCTGGCATTTTATGAAGGAAGAATTATGATCAGCAGTGCCATGACCCTCCCCATCTCACCTCCAGCCTCCACCTTGTCCTCTCCAGTCCAGAGCACATCCTCACCTTCTGAGATCATTTCCTGTCTGTATCTGGGGAGATCTAGGCCCCACAGCCATTTGGGACAGCTGCAGGGAGCTGGAAGCCCATGGCAGGTTCTGAGTGGAACCACGGTTTCCATGTGCCAGCTCACTCTGGGCCTAGACATGGCCCAGTCAGCTGACTGGTCATGTACCTGCTCTAGGTGATGGCCAAGTGGACTTTGAGGAGTTTGTAACCCTCCTGGGACCCAAGCTCTCCACCTCGGGGATCCCAGAGAAGTTCCATGGCACTGACTTTGATACAGTCTTCTGGAAGGTGTGTCTGGGCTGGCCAGCAAATGACCCAGCCTGCATTGTAAACCTGTCTACTGCATGTCTTGTATTCCAGAGGGCCACCTGGGTGGAGGTGAGGGTGCTGGGGTTGGCCGAGGACTCTGGGGCATGGGGTGAGGGTCCCAGCCCTCCAGGATCTGTTTGTAAGGGAGTGGCTGTGGTAGTGGCCAAAGCACTGTTTCCCCCCCTACAAGTGTGACATGCAGAAGCTGACGGTGGACGAGCTGAAACGGCTGCTCTACGACTCCTTCTGTGAGCACCTGTCTATGAAGGACATTGAGAACATCATCATGACAGAGGAGGAGAGCCACCTGGGCACGGCTGAGGAGTGCCCCGTGGATGTGGAGAGTGAGTGATGAACCCCTAGGTCCCCATGGGCGGAGGGAAGCCAGGGGTTTGCAGAAGGGGCTGGGGCCCTCCTTGCCTGCTCCAAGCCTTGGTGTCCCCAGGCGCCCCCTGGGATAAGCCCTTCCTGGGTGTGGCTCTTGATCCCATTGGTTCACTGTCTCGTCTCTATCACCCCTGGTGGCCACAGCTTGCTCCAACCAGCAGATCCGCCAGACGTGTGTGCGCAAGAGTCTCATCTGCGCCTTCGCCATTGCCTTCATCATCAGCGTCATGCTCATCGCAGCCAACCAGGTGCTGCGCAGCGGCATGAAATAGGCCCCTGCCAGGGCGCCTGTCTGGCGCATGCGGTGCATGGGACCCACTTCACTCCCACCGCCGCCTGCAGCCCCTTCTTCCTCAGCTGGCTCCCTGGGCCACTGTCAGTGTGTACTCAGGGCCCAGAGACTGGCAACCCCACCACTACCACCCCTGCCCCTCTGGGCCTTGCATGGAGCCGTGGCTCAGCTGTGGAGGCCCTGGTGGTGGCTCTAGGATGACCTCCAGCCCTGCCTGCACCCCTGCCCTACCCGTGACCCCATCTGGCCTGTATGTAGCACTAACTCTTCCTGCTATCCATGGGCTCTTGGAAGTTAAGGAGAAACCTGTATTGGAGCCCAGGGACCCAGTCATTGTTGTGAACCCTTGGGTGGGAGGGGTTCCCAGTGCCAGAGAAGGCAGTCACCTACCCAGGGCCACACAGCCAACCTGACCCTGGTCTCTGGGGTTGCAGATAATCTTCCGAGGGGAAGGTATGAGACTGGAGTCTCCTTGGTTCCTCCTCCTGGGCACAGCTTGAGGAGGTTCCTGGCTGGGTCCCTTCCGCCGGTCCTCCTAAGCTTAGATCCAAACCCAGCCACTTCTCTCTGTACCTGTTGGGGTCACAGATTTTGCCCATTTCACAGATGAAGAGCTTGAAGCTCAGAGGGTCCGAGATTTGGCCTAAGTTTCCCCTTCAGTGGGGATCTTCAGGATGGGCATTAGGTCATTGGAAGATGGGGCTTCTGAGGTGCCCCCCACCCAACCAACCACCACCACAGAACCTAGGATTATAGTGCATCTGGGGACAGGGACTCCAAGACCTGAGAATACCTGCCACCTCCGCTGGCCAGAGGCTCCTCCAGGGCAGAAATCCCTATGCCACCTTTAGGCCAAAGGGCTGCTCAGCCCAGCCCAGCCAGATATTGCCCAAGTGCAGGTCCTGGCTTCCTGGGACCCACTACTCTAGCCCTCATGTGCCACCCTGCATGCTTGGCACCACTCAGCATGGGTGGAAGTGGGGCTGCCAATCTGCCAGGGCTGGACCAGCAGGTGGAGCCATGCTACAGGGGCCTGGCCATAGGTCATAGCCACTCTACTATATCCACCAGGGCATGTACCTTCACTGGCCCCCAAGGGAGAGGAGCCCTTCTCATCCCAGCCATGCTCTCCCTGACCAGGGCAGGAGCCACAGTGTGACAGACTCTCTTTATAATCATCCAGAAGTTGGTTTTCTCACACTTCTTGGGAGGGAAGGAAGGTAGGGACTGTCTGGCTTAGCGCCAGGACCAGGGCTGCACCTTGTGGGGGGCCCGGGTCTCAGTTAGGCCAGGTGGTAGTTTTAGAGGGTCTGTGGGCTCTCCCCAGTCCTTATCTTCATTGTAACCAAGGAAAGTTGACTGGGTAGGGGCCAGGTAGGGCCAAGGGGCTCAGCCCCATTGGATGCTGGGCTGCAGGGGCCACCCTCCTGGTGGGGGTGCCCTCAGGGATGGTGGAAGCTCCTGGATTGGTGGCCAACCCATGGGGTACTGGAAGATGGCGGTCCTGGCAGGTTCGACCCTAGAGAAAAGGCACAGAATTAGGCTGGGACACAGACCTTTCTGGAAGCAGAGCAACCCCTCTGAGCCAGCCACCTCACTTCTAGGGACTGAGCCCAAGGAAACAGCCAGGTTGTGGGTAGAGATTACGGGACAATAGTGGCTGCCCCCAAAATACCCAGCATCCACCTGTGGGGGACTGATTACGTACGTCCACAGCAGAGAGTGCTCTGCGGTCTGGGTCAACATGAAGGCGGACTTATGTGCACTGACCAGGGACAGCGCTGGGACGTACTGTGTGAGCAGGGAGCAGCAGCAGCTTATAAAATAATGTATATAGCATGACACTATTTTTGTTTAAAGATATATAACATATATAAATGCATAAAAAATACCTAGAAGACTGAACAAAATGTTAAAACTGTTTCTGTCTGAGTGGTGTCATTACAAGTGAACTCTTTTTTAATTCTTTATACTTTTTTGTTTTGTTTTGTTTTGTTTTTAAGCACACAAAGTCACTGAAATCAGGAAAGGAAAAAAAAAAAAAAAAAGAGGCCTGGTATGGCACAGTAGGATAAACACTACACTGCTAACCACAAGGTTGGTGGTTCAAACCCACCAACGGCTCCTCAGAAACCCTATATAGGGTAGCTATGAGTCAGAATCAACTTGATGATACATCCCAGCAATACCACATTTTTAAAAAGTCTCATTGTTTACACTGCTTTCCTCCTGGAGGGCCCTCAAAGCCCATCTGAAGCAGCAGTCCTTGGTCAGGCATCTTGTGCCCAGCCTGGGGCTGCTCCTTACTGGGAACCAACGGAGCCCAGAGTGCCACAGAGCAGGTCCGACCTTCCCATCAACCGGGACAAGGTTTGCTCAGGTCAGTCCCAGTGCCCCTTCTCTCAGGCCATGGAGCATTTTGAACCTTGTTTCCCACTTCGCTTGTCTGTCTCTCCTGAACTTGGGGCTCTAGAGAGTAGGGGACAGGGGGCCTGTCTGTACCTCAGGGCCCGGTGAATGTTTGCTGAATATGAACAGCAATGCTGACTACTCTCCAGAGCTGCTCTGGGTCAGATGCTGTGGCCAGAGGATCCATAAGAACCCTCCTTTACACAATGCCCATTTTACAGAGGAGGCAACTAAGGTTCAGAGTCAGTCCCCTGTTCAGGTGCCACAGTCGTGGGTGGAATGTAACTTGGACATCAGCTCTCATCATCTCCTTCCCCGCTCCCTCCATCTGGCCCCCTTCCCTACTCCATCCCACCCAGAACCAGTGACCTAGGTTCTGCCAGCTCCTCAGCCCAGTGGCCAATCCCCTACAGAAACTCTCAGGAACTCTCTGAGGCCTCAGGCCTCCAATGTGGAAGTGTAAGGGCCTGGCAGTTGGCCCTATTGCTCTGCCCCCACCCTGTCCACAGGCCTGGCTGCAGGATTCAGGGCCCTATGTGTCTCCAGGGCCTCATGTTGTAAGAGGACAAGGAAACCCCTGCTCAGCCAATGGCCGCCCGCCCACAGGAGAGAACGGAAAGTGGCTCTCAGCATGATTTATGACGTTGGGGAGATTTCATAAACTCCGTGAGCCGCGAAGGGAAGTGGGAGCGGAGGAGGCTCCGCAGTTGTGGGAAGGGAGGGCCCCAGCTGCCAAGCAGACTGGGCTCCCACAGGGCTGGGACTGATGGCAGGGTTCCCCTTGGAGGATGTGGGTCTGGGGAGCCCGTTCCCCTAGAAAACAGGTGCGTTTTCCTTAGACTGGGTCCAAGGCTGGTGCCCCCCCAATAGGAGGAGGGCATCCTCTGGTATATCCCCAGACACAGCCCTGGCCTCAGACATAGAGAAACCGACTGACCCCAAGAGTAAACCCTCCAGCCTCACACGTAGCAGACATGACCACTGAGGCAGGTGTGCAACCTGGTTTGGGGCTTGTGGCTTCCATTTCCCCTGAGTACAAGGACAAGAGTGACTCTCTTTTGCCTTTCTCAAACCATGTCCTCATCATACCGGCAAGTGCACCTCGGAGGTGGCTGGGCCAAGCGCAGGGGGAGATTAAGTGGGATAAAGTCACAATCTGAAGCGCCAACAATGGCAAGCAGGGACAAGTGCGAGCCTCACAGGGGGATTAGTCTTTGTGTCTGAGGCTGGCCCTGCCCGTCAGCCTCCCAACTGCTCTCGGCAGACGCCTCAGGGTGAGTCTGCTGAGGGGGATGGGCAAGGCTGCTAGGCAGGGCCCCAAGGAGCTTCCCAGGTTTACAAGGAGGGTTAGCCTGGCTGATCTTGAGGCTCTGCTCAACGGTGTGGGGTTAAAGCCACCATGCCCTGTGTCCCCTGTCTCCTAGGTGAGAACAGGGACTACCTGAGGTCTCCCAGCCCGGTCCCCACAAGGAACTCACACCCAGGTCGGGTCCCTGTTCCTCCTGCACACTCACTCATCAGTGAACACATGCTGGCCTGGTCACTGTGTGCTCAAGGATGTGAGGGGACACTGGAGGCTGTGGGGGCTTCCTGAGGGAGTGTTACTGGAGCTGACGCTTCTGGGGGTCTGGCTCTGTCAGCAAAGAGTTGGGGAAGACAGCTGTAGATGTACACACAAAGCACCCCAGGATCAGAAGTGGCCATGACATCTAAGAGCATCCAGCCTGAAGGACACAGAGGCAGATGGGAAAGGTGAGAATGTGACCACCAAGGAAGTCCCCTGGGCTGCCATCTGGGCTGTGGAACCTGAGCTGTCCCCTAAGGTGGAGCAAGTCTACTCATTGAAACCCATGGCCACCAAGTCAGTTCCAACTTATAATGACCCCATAGGACAGATTTCAACTGCTCCTTAGGGTTTCCAAGACTGTACAACTGGTGGGTCTGAACTGCTGGTAGCCCAATACCTTAACCCACTGTGCCACCAGGGCTCCTTGGAAGAAGCCAGGGAAGGTGTAAGCAGGGGACAGGAGAGCCAGAGCCAGGCAGTGTTTTAGAAACTGGGTGTGTGGTTGTGAGGAGGTGGGAGACCATGACCATCTAGGAAAGGTGGGGTGGGCAAGGGGCCCACGGGGCACTAACCAGCAGAAGCTGCTGTCTTTTTGCAGGGCTGGCTGGAGGTTAGTGTAGGAGACTTGGGAAGCAGAGCAAGGCAGCTGAGGGATGCAGCAGGGACCATAGATGCAGAGACAGAGCCTAGAGCCGGTGGGCATCATTTTACACAAGACCAGCTACACAGAAATGGCTGCAGAAGACCGAGGCTGTGACGGCAAAAGCAATAATAAATGGTCACCTCCCTTCTAACAATCCCTTTTTCTCTAAGCCAGATAGACCTGTCTGCCCAGAAAGTCATTCCTTTGACTCAGAGCCCCCAAGAGGCAGGTGGACCACCATGGGTGCAGAGAATAAGGGACTCTGAGGAAGCAGGTCCCTGGGAGTGGTCAGGCTGGGTGCCAGAGGGAGAGAGGCCTGAGGGGCAATGCTCAGTTCCCCTGGAGTATAGCTAGGCTCCATCCAGCATCAGACTGCTGTAACTGCAGGCCTCCAGCAAGGCAGGGCCCTTGGCAAACCCTAAGTGTGGCCCCAGTGACAGAGGTGGCCCAGACTGCAGCAGGAAGCCACTCTCCAGTCAAGCTAAGACAGCAGGTATGACGACCTCCAGGAGAGATTCTGACTCACCAGCTGCACAGTGAGGTACTAATCCCCATGATATGCAGGCTGCCAGGCACACCGTCTGTACCAAACAACCCAACTGTTCAGTGTGCCTCACCTCTCCCTGGGACTCTGTGCCTTGGTTTCCATATTCTACCCTCTGGGTCCTCCAGGTCTCATGATAACAACATGATAACATTCTGCCTTGGATAGCTCTGGGACAGGCCTGTCTGCACCAAGGCAGGGACTTGGGGATACCCTTCTACAGTCCCCAAGGTCCCCAGGCCTGAGATACTCCTTCCTGGGGCAGGACCTCAGAGGGGCAAGCAGGGGGCTGAGCAGCCAGGGTAATGTGGCCAGTAGGTGCCAGAGCACAGATGGAACTGAGTATGCTCTGGATACGAGGATCTAAACAGGACGCAATGGAAGTGAACTGGTCTTCCTGGGACCTATCACCCTTAACTTATGGGGTGGGGGGGGAGGGGGGCAGGAATCCCTGATGAGAACTGCACACTTGACCACAATAACAACACTTCAGACAGGCCCAGAAGGAAGGTACATCACATTGAACATTTGAATCGTATATTTTCATAAGGTGAGAAGGACAAAAACTGGCCACAGATTTAAAATAAAGGTTAAAAGAAAAAAAAAAAAAAAAACAACCCCACACACAAACTTTTGGTCTACACCCTAGTTTGGTGCATTGTGTCTTGGGTCTTAAAAACAGCTTGGTGATGACCACCTAAAATATAACTAAGGTGCTCTACTTATCTGGCATAAAGAGAAAGAAGAAAGCCAAAGGCCCAAAGAAGCAGCTAACCCACAGGAAAAGTCGTCTACACGGACCACGGCCTCATTTCCCTGGAGACGAGATGAATTAGATGGTGCCCAGCTACCAGTACTCACCATTCTAATCTACTAGGACAGACTGACGCTGATAAGAGAAAAATGTGGACCAGAACTTCAAATTCCTAACAACAATAAAAAAACCCCAGACCTGGACACCTGGTGTGGTGCTGTAGGATCATCACAGACCAACGGTTCAAATGTACCAGCTGCTCCTCAGAAACTCTATACAGGGTCACTGTGAGTCAGAACCAACTCGAAGGCACTTAACAACAACATCTGGACTGGTTGAAATCTGAAGATGGCCTTGAAACAAAACCAACCACAGAGGTCACCCTGTAGCTAAAAAACAGATTGGCTCCAAAAATACTGACCCCTAAAATACTGAGCATCACCTACTAAATGCTGTACACCTTTATTTAAAAATCACCTATATGAGACCAAACTGTCAGTAAGAACTTACAAACAGAGGTGAGAATGTAAGGGGACAGGGACACCAGATTCATGGAGATGGAACCACCAGAACAGAAATATCAAGAACGTTGCAAAGAATAGAACCAATGTCAATGAATAACTTGTGAATGGTTGAACAGGTCCCTTAACTGCTGTGTAAACATTCACTGAAAACACAATGAAATACTAGTTTCTGAAAAATGAAAGTTGATTTAAAAAGATCTTCATTTCTTTTCACTAGGCTCAGAGAAGGCAAGATTCTTTGACCTCTAGTTAGGGCCCAAAAGAGGGCCTCACAGATGGTCTGATCAGGCTCCCTTGGCCCAGGCCAGGCTGGCAGCCCATGAGACCAGACCATGGCAACCCAAGGAGAACTTTGCAGATAATCCATCAGATGCCGTTTCACGATGGAGAAATTAAAGAAGTCCAGGGAGGGACAACTTATACAAAGTTATATACAGCTCATAAGCATGTCCTTTAAAGCCCTTGGCCTCTCCCCTCTCCTTCAGTGCCTGGTGGAATTGCCCAGGAGACCTGGCTTTGGCCTTGACTGTGATACTGTATCTGGGTCAGAGGCCCACCCCTTGAGGAGGAGGGCACAGGACAGCACACAACACACACAGACCCTTACCCAGCATGCTCCCCAGCACAAGAGCTGAATGAGCTGTCCACACACTACTGAACCTCAAGTGCTGGACCTGGCCCACCCTGTACCCTTTCAGCAAGACACTGCTCTTATTATCACCCTCTGTGCAATCCCAGCTCTACCCCTCCTGGCTGTGAGCCCTTGTGCAAGTCACACCCTACCATGAGCCTCAATCTCCCCGTTTGTACACTCAGGCTATCCTGCAAGTTGGCAGAGCCCTGGGGAGGAAGGGGCAAGGGAACCGGTGTGCAATGACAGGCACCCAGAGGTGTGTTGGTAAGCAAGAACTCCCTCCAGCCCTCCCTCCCAGGATGGAACAGTGATGTGGAGTTAGATCTGCTTTGTGCTCCTACATGGACATGAACAACTAAAGGATGGAAACAGGCCTGGGGGTCTAACAACTGCTGAGGTGGTCCCTAGGCCTGGGCAGTTCACAGAGACTCAAGTCAGGGCAGGCTGGCTGGGGTCTTGTCCCCAGAGGCCGTGGGAGGAGGGCACCCATGGGGTCGTACCTGTTGCTTGGGGCTGAGCTCAGGCGCTTGGCTCTCTTCTCCAGCCAGTCCTCCAGGTGGACCTCAGGGAGCTCCCCGGCATCAAGTGGCCACTCCTTGGACCGCCTCTCCTCTGTGGGGGTAGGGAGACAGGGGCAAGTGATGAGCCAGTCCCAACTCTGTGCCCACAAGGGAGCAGGCTTGGCAGGCTCTGGGTGTCTCACACACTCCCTTCCTGGGAGGCAGGCTGGGTGGGGTAAGGGTAGAGCCTCTGGATTGTTCTCATTACAGCACCATTGCCCAGGGGCCCCCTCTGGCCTCATTCTGTTTCTCTATCCAATGGAGACCTTACAAGATTTGTGGGGACTCAAAGCAGGAAGATGGATATAAACAGTCTGGCTCATATGAGTGCCCAGTTCCAGGGTAAAGGGGGGCAGAGCTAGGCAGAACAGGGCTCAGTCATGAGCTGGACCTCTGACCATGAGCAGAGTAACAATCCTCAGTTTCCCCTAAGCTTTCCTTCTCATAAAATGCCCTACAAAAGCCTCTAATTATTGAATTAAAACCAAGCAACCAATAGTTTCCATACTACTCGGGTCACGAGCATGTGATGTGGTTCATGTCTCCGTGTGGTCCTAGGATGGGGCCAGAGGAAAGCACTCGTACTTGCTTGGGGCACTAAATGCACTCTTGTCACCTCACTTCACCTTCTCAGGCAACACTGCCTCCAAAATGCTAAGCCACGTGCCAAGGTCCTGGCTGGATGGGGCAGCAGCACTCTGTTCCAGCCTCCGCAGATCCCTGCTCATCCCCCCATGTTGTCAGATTGAAAGAGCGAGGGGGGATGCCAAGCTTGAAGTTGCTGCACAGGGTCCAGGTGGGGCAGAAGTGAATCCACAGGGTTCCTGGCATGAAACCATACTGGCATCACATTGAGATCCATGGAGACATGGATGGGAGCATAAGCCAGCCATTGCTCCTTTTCCACTCAGGCCTGAGGCTGTCTAGAGGAGCTGTTCAGTAAGACTCAGGGTTCCCCCACCACCCTGGGCAGCCCTTGGTCTCCCCTCAGCAGTCAGGAGGGAGGGGATGGAGGAGAGGCACCAAGTAACTTCTCCTTCTCAGATCTCAACCTTGAGACACCTGGCCTCCCAGTCTGGACACCCACTGAGACGCACCTTCCACCTGAAGGCTCAGCTCCTGCAGATCTCGCCCTGACATGTGGGAAAATCGACACTTGGAGCCGAAGTCGCACTGACCTGTGGAGGGAAGGCAGAATGAACCGCTGCTCAGGAAGGGGCTCACAGTGTTAGGGGTAGGACCCAAAGGGCTCTACTCTTGCTCAAGAACTGGGAGATTCTCTGTCCCCACTCCAACACAGAAGCCAGACCACCTCCCTGATACATCACCCTGCTTGAGCCCCTTCCCTGGCTGCTCACTGCTTTGGGGACCCTACCCTTACCCGTTCTCCAGTGAACTGAACTCTGGTCCCTGGAAGGGTCATGCATCTCTTCCTGCATGTACTGGGACACCCACTGCCTCCTCCCCATCACTTCACCAACAGCAGAACCACTCCTTTGAAAAACTTCAGGGGCGGCTTTGTGAAGGAAATACCAAAGTCCAAGGTGACCTTCTGAATCTCAACGCAGGATATAAAATAATAGGAACTCGAGGGGATCCTAGGACCCTGGGTGGTGCCATGGTTAAACACTTGGCTGCTAAATATAAGGCTGGTGGTCAGTTCAAACTCATCCCTTGTTCCATAAAAGAAAGATGCGGCAGTCTGCTTCTGTTAAGATTACAGCCTTAGGAAATCTTCTAGGGCAGTTCCACTCTGTCCTAGGAGCTAGAACCAACTACATGGCAGTGGGTTTGGGTTGGTTGGAGGGTGTCCTACGCCAGCACACCCTATTTGTGGCATATTCATGTCCAGATAAAGTCTGCGGGGAAGCCCCTGACCTGCAGTGCAAGTCTGGTCCCCACCTTAGTACCAGTGTCCTGAGTGGAGCGTGGCCTCCCTTCCCTCAATGTTAAGCTCCCTGTCAGCCATGCTAACCATCAGGGCTTTCCTCTTGGCTGCTAGGAAGCCCAGGCCCTCAAAGGCCAACAGAGAAGATAATGAACATTCTCCTGGATTGCCTTAGTTTTCCTTCCTTTATTATCGCCTGTCATTTGTCCCCTCACTTGCTTTAGTTTTTACCTGTTTGAACCATGGTGGTGGTGGTGGTATGCCCTGGAGTTGGTTCTGACTCATAGCAACCCAGCATAGGGTTTCCCCAGCTCTAAATCTTTAAGGGAGCAGAAAGTCTCATTTTTCCCCCACTGAACAGTTGAGAGTTTCATACTGCTGACCTTGAGGTTAGCAGCCTGACTTATAACCACTATGCTATCAGAGATCTGAACCATAAGCATCTTTGTCAGCCTAATATTGACCTATGAAATCAACATCTAGCACCCTTTGTTTAACTCTCAATGTTCTCAGTAGCCTTAAGTCTGTGACGATCTCCAGCCCTGACTGCTCTCAGGCACTTTAATCAGTTAGTCTAATACGCCACCAGTGTCCTCGATTTACTTCCCATCTCCCAATGCTTGCTTGTTCTGGGTGAGCAGACACAATCGCATTCTGCAGAGCCAAGGACCACATCCTGCGAAGCCCGAACACACCACAGCCCCTAGGAAGACTCCAAGAAGTCTGCCAGGGGAGCTGAGGTCACAAAGTGGGCTCTGGGGAGTGGCTGGGGACCATCCAAGTGTTGCTCACTCAGGTGGCTGAAGTGGAGCAGAGCACTGTACCTATCAGTAGAAACTTCCAACAGGGCCGCTTGTTCTGCTCATCCACCAAGATGGTGGCTGCATCTGCAAAAGAACAGAGGGGTGGGGTTTCGATGAGATGTGGGGAACCAAGGAAGAAGCCTGGCCTGGACTTAAAGTGGGTACAGAAAAAAAGTTGGGACAACTCCCCATTCACGGCGGAATACAAAAAGTGGATGTCACAGGTGGGGATACTGAGCAACGAATCTCAGTTTCAGGAGACCCCAGGCCCACCAACCAAAGGAAGAACTGGGCTTCAGGTCAGAGGGCAATATCTTTGCCTGTGCAATAGAATCACTTGGGGGAGTTTTGTAAATATCCTGGTGCCATGGGACCTCTTTGTACTGTCTTTGCAACCTTCAGTGACTCTATGATTTCAAAATAAAAACTAACCCTGAGGCTTAATTTTTAGCCAAAAGACAGACAAATCTCTAAGCTGAACAATAACACCAGGAGGTCCATACGCCTTAGAACAATCAACCATTCGAAATCCAAAGGGCAGCATTTGCCCAGGAATAAAACTGAGAGGCAGGAAGGGATAGGAAAGAAGGGCGAAGGGAAAGAGTGAACACGGGGAGGAAGTGGGAAGAACACTGTTATGTTACATTGTGAGGAATGCAATCAGTGTTATGAAGAACATGTATGAATTGTAGAATGAAAAACCAATTTGCTCTGTGAACTTTCATCCACATCACAATGAAGAGTTTTAAAAAAACAGAAAGTTCTGGTGTTCAGGTAGCTCACCAGCCATTTCCAGGGCCCGGCACCACTCCACAGCCACAAAACTGAAACCTGCCCTTTTTTACCCCCTGCAGACACTAGCTACAGGCACTCAGAGTCAGATTGCACCAGCTGAGACGGTTTTGTGGCAATAATTCTGGATGTTAACCTTAACCCTGGCTTCCTCTTTATTTTCATCATAACATTTTTCACTTTTATATGCTTCTTTGTAGACAAAGTATCAGTGAATCAAAATCCACAGGTAAGACATGTAACTAAGGATGAGCAAGCCCTTTGGTCTGCCCTCACAGGGGTGGGAAGCAGGCTGGTGCTCAGAACATTCCACCACCTTTTTCTAAAAGCTGCTTGAGCTTGAGTCCCAGCTACACAAGACCAGAGGCCCGCTATTTGATCTCTCTAAGTCTTCATTTCCCCATATGTAAAATGGGCAGAAAGGTTCTGGCCTGGCAGGACTGCTGTGAACCCGGTGTTTGGGTAATGGATGGAAGAATGTGGCCGAGGTGGGCAGTGGTTCCCTGCCCAGCTGCATGCGAGCATCACTCGGGAAGGAAGCACAACTCATCAATCTCTGGGGTTGTACAGCCAGGACTGTGCACTTCTGGGGTGGATCCACAAAAAATATAGTGAGTCATATTTCACTTCTCATCACAAACCCACATCCCCATTTTGCAGAAACAGGTTCAGAGAAGGAAAATGATTTGCCCAAGGACCCACAGTTAGGAAGTAGCAGGGCCAGGTTGGACCCCAGTGTGCGCCTAAGGCCTGCTCCTTCCTGAGTACTGTGGTGGACCAGCAGGCATCAATGGGAAGGGCAGTGGTGTGCTGGAGGTAGAGTTCTGGACTTAGAAGTCAGTTGTCAGAGAACAAATAGGTGGCCTGGCAGAGCTGTGTGGGGGGACCACACTGGGTTTGTCCAACTCGGGCCACCCAATTGGTGCGGCCCTGCCTTTCTGGAGAGAAGTGGGCTGATGGTCCAAGCCTAGGATTCCCCTGAGCAGGGCAGCTGAGACTGGAACAGAGTATGGGAGAAGGGCTCCTCATTGCTCATCATCACCCCCAACTGCACTTGAGAATCACCAGGTCATTTTTAGAGTATGTAGCAGCCAGGGCCACTCCTCCTAGCCTCAGCTTTCATTCTCTGCTGGGCATCAAATTGTTAAAAAGCTCCTCAGTGACTCTAGGTTGAGAAGGCCAGGCCCAAGACCTGGATACAGCAGCCTGAGCTCCTTCACCTGGCATTCAAGGCTCCTCGTGATCTGACCGTGTTGGTCCTTCTCGCTTCATCTCCCCAAACGGACAGCTGCCCTGGGGCCTTGTGTCTGTTTGCTTATTCATTTCAACGTTTAGTTAGCAAACATTTACTGAGCACGTCCTGTGCGCCAGGCACCACGCCAGGCTGGGGCTTAGTGGAGAACAATCAGATCAGACCCTTCCTTTCCTAGGTCAACGATCACACGAATCCAAGTGGAGATCAGCAGGGCACACATCTAGCAGCTAGCAGAATGGACTGCCTGGCCCAGGGAGTCTGCCTGAATGAAGCTCAGAGGGGGCTCACTTCATCTCAGGAAGGAAGGAGAGGCAGCAGAAGAGAAGCCTTCAGGGGGAACGTACACTCAAACAGGTCATGCAGTCCTTGGAGGGAGAGGCCAGCATGGTATGGGACCCTGCCCAGAACACGCTATTATCTATTACGCAACTATTCTCTGTCTTCCCAGGCGGGGACAGCAGGCCCTGTTTTACCCACCTCTTTGATGCTGGGGTGTATCTGAAAATATCTCAGATGTTAATGGTAGGAATGATTCCATCCCTTTGTGGTCCAATGGACATCTTTAGTGCTCACCAAACCCTGAGGCCCAAGTGTGGCATTGTAGATAAGCACAGGACGGCTGCTAGTTGTGCTAACTTGCAAGGTCAGCAGTTCAAATCCACTAGTCTCTCTCGGGAATCCAAAACAGAGATGCTGTGAGTCTGAGTCACGGTTAACTCGATGGCATACAACAACAACAACAACAAACCACGAGGAGTCATACAGTCATTGTGAGACTACTGCGCTCCAGTCATAGCCCTGGGAGGTGGGTCCTGTTGCTATGGCTGTTCTACACATGACAAGATTAGGGTTACACTGTGAATGATTGACAGAGTTGGCTGACACTGACTCTGGAGCCTGAGTTTTCCCTGACCACAGCAACGGAATGTCACCTCTCCTGAGGCCTAAGGGATTGGTCCAAGGCTTTGAAGCTGGGGTCAAGTGGTTCGAGTTGACTCCCAGCCCAGTTGGAGCACCATAGTGCCTTCCCAAAGTCAGTGTGCTGCTCAGGGTAAGCTGGGACCCAGGGGAAGTATCTTGAGGGGGTGGGAAGAGCTCGATTCCAGTGCTGGGGTCCAGGGCAAGGCAATCCACTGCTCTGTATCTCAAAGACCTCTTTGTACCTGGGGATGCATCAACATGGCTCAGCCTCCCTACACAGCTGTCCTAAACAACAAATGTGGAGTTAATATGGTTTTGATAGGGTCTTGGGAACACAGGTGCCCTGAAAAGGGGAAGATGGCTCACACAGATTCATTTTTTTTTAAAACAAGTAACAAGGGTCCTTTTCTGGGTTGAGAGGGGGACTACGATCAAATACCAAGGCCAGATTTCATGACAGATCACAGCTCAAATGGGATTTGGAGGGCAGAAAGCCTTCGCCCAATACCAGCACCCACCCCATTTCAAAGAATAGGAACTCTTGAACACTTCATTGTGTGCAGGCAGAACCTGTATATAGACCAAGAGGCAGTCACTGGGACAGAAGAAGGGAATGCTGTGTAGTTCAAAATCAGGAAAGGTGTGTGCCAGGGTTCTTATCTGTTCACTATACTTATTTAATCTGTATGCTGAACAAATAATCCTGAAAAGAACGTGGCATCAGGACTGGAGGAAGTCTCATCAACAACCTGCGATATACAGATGACACGGCCTTGTTTGCTGAAAGTGAAGAGGGCTTGAAAAACTTACTAATGAAGATAAAAGACTACAGCCTTCAGTATGGATTACACCTGAGCATAAAGAAAACAAAACTCTTCACTGGACCAATAAGCAGCATCATGATAAGCAGAGAAAATAAATGAATTTGTCAAGGATTTTACTTGGATTCACAATCAATTCTCATGAAAGCAGCAGTCAAGAAATCAAAGGTGCACTTTGAGGACTAAGGTACACCTGACCCAGGCCATGGTATTTTTAATCACCTCATATGCATGCAAAAGCTGGGCAATGAACAAGGAAGACTAAAGAAGAATGGAGGCATTTGAATGATGCAGTTGCTGTTGGCTATACTGTGAACTGACAGAAGGATGAGCAAATCTGTCTTGGAAGAAGTGCAGCTTTAGAACAAAGACGGTGAGACTTTGTCTTGCATACTTAGGACATGTTATCAGGAAGGACCAGTCCCTAAAGAAAGACATCATGCTTGGTAAGGTAGAAGGTCAGTGAAAAAGAGGAAGACTCTCAGTGAGTTGGATTTACACAGTGGCTGCATGTGGGCTCAGACATAGCAATGATGTTAACGATGTCACAGGGCTGGGCATGGTTTCATTTTGTGGTACATAAAGTTGCTATGAGTTGGAAGCAACTCAAAGGCGTCTAACAACTCCACTCTTAGCTAGGCCTCCCTCCCTCATCTGAGAGAGCTTTCTGAATGCCATGCCTAGGCCCTACCCCACCCCTGCCTCTGGGGCTGGGGTTGGGACTCTGCCCCCAGTCGATCCTGCATCCAGGGTTGAGAACCACGCCTTAGAGATTTTGAGATAAGCAAAAGACTGATGACCAACCACATAAGTGCACACCCTTCTCTTGAATCCTGAGTTTCACCTCAAGGAACTCTCCCTTCTCCCACGTGTTGGCTACTAAGACTCAGTTCCCTCCTTCTGGGCTCAGGGCCCAAGTCTCACTGCATCGCAATGGAATCCTTTTCTCCAACTTGTGGGTGTTAGTTCTGCCTGGCTCACTCCAGAGCTCCTTCCCCACAGCCAAACTCCCTGTCCCCCTCAGCCAGCTCTGGGTCTCCACATTCTGCCTGCTCCCTTGCTCTTCCCCAGTATGCAAGTCAAGTAACAATGACAGTACCATTGCCCCAGCAGTGACTGTCCGGAGGGCAGCTCCAGATGCTAGGCACTGTGCTTAGTTAGGTCTTACACCCCTGAGCGCATTCACCCCAATGGCATCTGCTCTGAGAAGTTCTTCCCGGAAGAGCCTTCCTTTGGCAGCTCAGCTGCTCATCCAGCCAGTCATCCATCATTCATTCCTTCACGCCCACCGCTCACCACATCGCACTCAGTCCTAGCTCTGGCCACAATGGCCTCTACATCAAGCCCTTCAAGGGTTGCCCTCTGCCCTCAGGACAACCTGATGCCCTTTTGTAGACTCTGCAGACCTTTCCGATCTGGTCCCTGCCCCAATGGAAGCTTCACCCCTTATCATTCTCCCCCTCACCCACCACGTTCCAGACACATCCTCTCCTTTTCAAACAGAGAACAGCATGCTTCCTCATGACTGCCTACCTCTTTGCATGTCCCCTACTCAGATTGTTTCCCTCCCTCTTTCAGCTGCTGGCTCAAACATCACTTCCTCCAGAGGACTTTCTGCATGCCCACGTGGCTGGCATCTAGAAAATTATTGGTCAAGATTTCTGGAGAACAGGTAAGTGACACCTCTGAGGGCCCATCTGCCTCAGGAGCAGCAGCCCCTGACTTCCCACTGTTTGGCTGCTCCGAGGGCCCAGATCAGTATTCTGGTTGACCCATGCTCTTCTTTGGCTGATGGTAAAAAGACCAGAGAGCAAGGCCCCATGTGCCTGGCTGCTGAACCAGCGGGCACTCACCTCGGAACATGTCGTACCAGACCTTCTTGGCCTTGAGGTGCTGCAGCCCATTGAGGTGCTTCTTGCGGTTGTGGAGGCTGTCCTGAAAGGAGCGGTCACAGTAGTCACAGAAGTATCGCTTCCCCATGGCCACCTATGTCAGGTGCTGCTGCCACCGCCTAAGGAATCACAAAGCACACATCAGACCTCTGGAGAAAATGCCACACATCACAGCCCACTGCCTAGTTCAATCTCACAATGGCCCATGAGGAGCTACCATCTTCCACCATCATTGAGTCTATTCTGACTCATACAGGATTCTACAGGACAGCATAGAACTACTCCTTAGGGTTTCTGAAGCTGTAAATCTTGACAGGAGCAGACAGCCTCATCTTTCTCCCAAGAAGCCGCTGGTGGGTTTAAACCACCAACCTTGCAGTTAGCAGCCCCATGCCTAACCCATGGTGCCAGTAAGGAGCTACAGGTCCCTATAATTATGGTCTACAAGGTCTTCTTCCAGAGGGATATTTTAACAACTCTGATGTCCAGCTTCCAGCCCTCATTATCTTGGTGAGGCCCGGGCAGCAATACTTTTTAAAGCTCCCCACGTCATTCGAACATGCAGCCAGGATGAGAACCACTGCCTAGCACCATCTGGCCATCCTCCACACCTGCTCTCACCCCTTGCTCCACTAGCCTCCATCTCCTGTTCTCTGCATGCCAGTCCTGCCAGCCTCCTTACACACTTCCCCTGAAGGGCATTTGCACCTGCTGTTCCCTCTAATTGGAAGACTCTTCCCCACCACAGTCTGCCATGCTTGTTCCCTTGTTCCTTCACTTTCTGCTCAAATGCTACCATGTCCACTTTACTTAAAACCACACCCCCCTCTCCACCCCAGATTTCTCCATTTCCCGTTCTCTTTTTCCTTAGCATTTAACACCTTTGAAATAATATGTAATTTACTTCTTAGGTTTATTGTCTCTTTCTCTCAACAAGAATTGAAAGTACACAACGGTTGGGATCATTTCATTTTTTGCAGACTCCCCAGCACCCCAAATGATGTGTGGCCAGAGCATCAATCTATTAGCTCTCTGTTGAAGACATGAGTTCATCCGTATTTTCCACATGAGACAACTTAGGTTCGGAGAGACTGTGATCTGTTTGAGGTCATACTGCTGAGAAGTCAGACTGCAAAGCTAGGTCCCCTAAAGTTGTTTCTGTGACACCAGGCCTCCACAGTTAATTGTGGCAGGGAATGAGAATGTTTCAGGATCTTAAGAAATCCTCAGTCACGGGGACCACACCTGATTCTGCAGCCCAAGGTGGGTAACAATTTTATGTCTCTCCTGGGTAACTTTCAAGTCCCAATCCAGTGCCACAAACCCATGCAGGTGGGACCTCTCGAGGTAAAGGCCAGTACCCTGGAGCTAGAAGTGGTCTGTGGTCTCAGCCCTCATTCTACAGAGCATGTACCAAGGACCAGTGCAGAAAATACAGTGATTTCCTCAAAGTCATGAGGAGGTAGCCCCAGCTAGTAGCCAAAGCCCTCAAACCCCCAAAATACACAACCCACTGCCATTGAGTCGATTCCGACTCACAGCAACCCTATAGGAGAGAGTAGAACTGCTCCGTAGGGTTTCCAAATCTGTCGAAGGCAGAATGCCTTGTTTTTTCTGCCAAGGAGCAACTAGTGGGTTTGGACCACCAACCCTGCGGTTAGCAGTCCGATGTTCGATCCACAGCACCACCAGAATCCCTCCCAGACTCCCAGGACTCAGTAAATAAAGTGATTCTGGTATCCAATCAACAGGGTGAACTACGCGGAATGCATCTTGGGAGAAAGAGACGGAGAGAGACACAGAGACAAACCCGCCCCCTGGACAGTCCAGGCAGCCAAATGATTTGATGGAGAAAGCCGTTTCTGCAGCAGACAGGGACGGCCAGCCATTAAGTCCTGTACTGTAATGGGATCAGGAACAGTCATTCAAAATGAAAACGTGTAAAACCTCTCTTCTCCCATTACTGCTGAGAAACCACGTCCCAGACACACAGACTTGATATATTAAATTTGGCAGCTCTAATACACCCCGTCTTGCCAATAAACTTATAAGAATTGGATTGAAATTATAAGAGATGAACGTTTAACGGTCGGGTGCTTAACCAAGCCATTCACGAAGCTTGAGGCGCTGAGGAACTGCTGGCTCTGGAAAGTAATGGGGCAGGGAAGGGTGTCCTTCTGGGAGACCAAGACATAACAGTGGCTGACTTAACTGGACAAAACCACAAAGAACACTGAGCTGTGTGACCTTGGGCAAGTCAGTTCCCCTCTGAACACCTCTACTTTTGCTGTCAGAAAGTGAGTTGTTGGGTCTGACTAGTCATTTAAATGGAGTATATTAATAAAAGAGTAATAGTAAAAATAATTTTTAAAATGTTCAGGATTGAGTAAGTACTCAATAAATGTTCCTATTACTAGAGTTAGTGTATTGAGCATCTACTATGTGTCAGGTGCTAAGCTCAAAGCTTTCAATGCGTCATCTCATTTAACCTTTAGGACAACCTGGGAGGTAGGACTATTACGCCTTTTCAGATGAGAGGACTGGGGCCACACTGGGGCTAGGCGCAGAATCCTGGCAATGTGACTCCAGAGCCCATACTTCTGAAAAGTCCCCTCCCAACACAGCACACTGACTACAGCTTTCCCTGGTACCAGGCAGAGATATGGGCCACAGTCCCTGTTTTATAAAGGAGGAAACTGCGGCTCAGACAGCCTGTGTTGACTCTGCTACACTGTCCCAAATACCAGCCCACTGGGAAATCAAGACCACGTGCCCGCCCCCCCACTCCCCCACCCCAGCACCACTGACCCAAATGAAGAACACTCAGTACTGGCTGGGCTGGGTGTGTTTGTTTCCCCTCACACACACACACACACGAGGTCCCCCCCTTCATGTCCTCTACCTGGTCAACCTTAGCCAAGGGCCACACAGCCCCTCTGCCTACCCGTGCCATCCTCATCTGGTACCTGGCTCACACTTGGCACATGGGACATGCTCATCAATCCAGGATGGGTCAGCAGGACCCCATATTCTAGTCCCAGCTCTACCAGGACCACAAGGAGGCTGTGGGCCTCAGTTTCCCCATGTATGAAAAGCAGTAAGAGGGTGGGTGGATCGGGTGACCTCTAAGGGCCTCTTGGTGACCAGATGATGCTCTTACAGGAAACATGTTCGGCAGGCAGGCCTGGGAGCATGCTACCAGCATGGTCCCCTGAAACTGGAGCCCACCATGCAGGACCAGGGCAGGGCTCTTTTCTAACCATTTTGTCTTGCAGAGCAGGCCAGACCACAGAGCCTGCTACTGCCTCTTTCCTGTGCCAGGAAGTCATGAGGGCAAGGATTTGAGAGCTATGATGATCTGGGTTAAAACCAGGTTAGACCATTTTCTACACATATGACCTTAGGTGGTTATTTAACGTTGGCCTCAGCTTTCTCCAATGGGGTTGCTTTGAGAGGCAAGAGACCCTCAGTCCATGCTGGCTGCCAGCACCATCCTATGACTGGCCTCCAAAAGACAGGCTCACAATGAGGAAGAGAATATCAGTGCCAAAGCGACTTTTGGAGTCAGCTGATCATATGCCACATGTGGAAAGTGAGGTCAGGACAGGGACAATGAGTGGTCCAAAGGACACAGCACAAGAGACAGAGGTGGGAGTGGACCCTCCGTCCCTACTGGTGGCCCTGGCTCCTGCTCTCCCATGCTGTGCCACTCAGGGAGGGAGTTGGGAGCCGACGGGCTGCAGTGGGGCCATGCTGCCCTCCTACCTCCCAGGCCTGTTCCCACTGGGTCAGACGCCCTGTCCCTGGATAAGGAGACTGGCCTTCAGCAAGGTGACTTCAGCCAGGGATCGTTGGGCCATGTACTTCTAGGTCTCCTAACCCAACCTTCCCGCTCCGGGACCTTTGTGCATGTCCTCAGGTGCAGTGCCCTGGCAGACACATAGCAGAGCCAGCAGCACGTGGGTGAGATTTTAGCTCCAATTCTCCCCTTCAGCCAGGTGTCCTTGTACAGGGCACAACCTGCACCACTGCGCTGGGAGCCAGGGAAGGCAGACGCGGGGACAGCTGAGTGTCTCTCGATAGCACCCAGACAGCAGCATGGGGTGCTGACTAAGCTGGCCCTCTCTGTCGTGTGTGATTCATCATCCTGAGGTTGGCTCACTTCACTTCCGGAACACAGATCAGGCCCTACTTCCTCTCGGGAACACAGGTGGTACCACCCACTGCTCCCAGGGACCACAGTTGTAACAGCATCTGTTAGCTCCATCAAGCTTCGCCAGGTGATAGGACTGGCTCCTTGTGGTCCAGGGGCAGCGGACAGGGCCAGAGAGGCAACCATCCTGGAATGCACAGGTTGGGATTCGAATCCCAGCTGAGTGACCTCAGGAAAACAGTGATTACCCTGAGTCTGTCCTTCACTACAGAACAAGGTCCTCCCATGCTGGAGACCTAAACCAATGTGGTATAAGTAAGACGTCTACCCCACCCACTGCCAGCAAGTCAATTCCTACTCATACTGACCCTGTAGGACAGAGAACTGCCCCATGGGGTTTCCAAGATGTATATCTTTACAGGAACCAACTATAGTGGGTTGTACCTTTGGATTAGTATCCAAGTGCTTTAACTACTGCACCACCAGGGCTCCTAGTAAGGTGCCTGGCACACAGTTAATGCTCAGAGAATGGCAGTTACTGCTGTTGCAACTAGTATTACCCAGGCAGCTCCCTCCTAACACCAAACTGAAAATGGTGTCACAGGCACTCCTGGCTCCTTACAACCTGCTCTGTCGTTCACAGCGCCTGTCACCTTCTCACATGCTGACCTACTGTCATGCCTGTCTGCCTCCCACCAGAATATAAGCTCCACAAGGACAGAATGTTCTGTCTGCTCGTCCCACTGCTGTTGGACCGGGGCCCAGCACACATTAGTGTCCCCGGATGTGCTTGTGGAACGAATGCACATGCGACCTGCAGCATCCCCAACAGGACTGCTCCCAGCTTCTGCTCCCCATAAGCAAGATGAGGATGAGAAACAGGAATAGAAGAGAGAATCAGGAAGCCTCAAAGGCAGCCCTCTCACTGCCAGCCCCCCAGCCTCACTCCAGAGCCAAGGCC